ACACCAATCGGACGTATTTAGCAGGACTATTTAACATAGCCTCCGTCCTCCTCTTAACACTCATAGCTACAGTGATAAGTTACGGTGATATACACTTGGAACTGTATCCTGGATGGTTCCTAAATAAATGGATAACAGACAATTGGGTTACGCTACTAAAACCCTATATAATATACATGTTCCGGCCTCATTAACCCAGAGGGAATCAGCGGTTAAAAGACCCAGAACATAAGGTGGCAGCGGTGGGATATGATTATATAAACACAATGTACTGCCCTGACATTTATATAAAGACTAAGGGGCTAATACAGTATTAGGGCAGTTAATTAGGGTAGTTAATCTTCGAGTGATATAAGCTGGAGTGTATAATCTTCAGGTAAATAAGCTGGGGTGTGTAATCAGCAGGTGAAATAAGCTGGGGTGTGTAATCTGCAGGTGAAATAAGCTGGGGTGTGTAATCTGCAGGTGATGTCAAGATAGTGGTGCATGATTCAAGGTGACTCTGCTGAAGGTCAACACCACCAAGACTTTCATTATTATATTGTCAACAAAATCCAGGTGTCCTCTCTCTCTCTCTCTCTCTCTCTCTCTCTCTCTCTCTCTCTCTCTCCCTAAGCTGTCGTCCTCCTCTCCTTCCCTCTCACATTTCCTTTCCACTGACATCTCCCCTCACCAGTTACTACCACCCCTTCCGTCCCTCACTCATATTGCCTATTCCACCACCGTCCTGCCACCTCGCCCTTCCATTTCCTCTTCTCCTCCCATATCCCGTTCCTCACCCTACTACTAACCCCCCTCTCCCTCCCTCCCTCCTTTCTCTCATTTCCTTTTCCTATACCATCCCTCCTTACCCATCCCTTACCTCTCCACCCTTCCACTACCAGCCCCCCCTTACTCCTCCCTTGCTCTCTCACGTCCTAACATTAAGAAACTTTTACGAGTTCTGACCTCCCACTTCTCCTCTCCCTCCACCCCCCCGACCCCCCCTTCTCTCACCCAAGGAAGAGAAAACACATCATCTGTTAAGTTTTCTTTTTCACAGTTTCTTGTCAGACACTGGACAGATGAAACACACATGTTCAAGTTATATATAAAAGTTAATGTGTTTTTCAGTTTCATTTTGACAGCGGATGAAACAGACTGAAATATTACAGACTTTCATTTAATTAAGAGTTTCATTAGTTTTTTCCCCCCGTGTTTCTCCAGCCACCTGCCTCACTCAGCTGTCCCTCAAACCAACGATAACAATTAACCCGTTTATAACTACTTGTGGGGGAAGTCGATGATTTTGTAACTCGCAACCTAACCTGACCTAACCTTACCTGACCTGACCTGACCTGAACTAACCTAACCTAACCTAACCTTACCTGACCTGACCTAACCTAAACTAACCTGACCTGAGCTAACTTGAATTATGCTAACCTAACCTAACCTAACCTAACCTAACCTGACCTAATCACTCGCATTACAATGACTACTGACAAACACCACAACCAATACCATCACCCACCACAACCACTTCTCACCACCCACCCACCACCATCATCATCCCCACCACCAACCACCACCACCAGCATCATCATCCCCACCACCACCAACCACCACCATCATCATCATCATCCCCACCACCACCAACCACCACCATCATCATCATCCCCCACCACCAACCACCACCAGCATATATCCCTCTCAACCAACAACACTCGCCTCCTAAGACCCAGCGACACACCATGGGCCACACACTCACACATTCGGACATTTCCACACTCTTTGGGAAGGAATAAAAAGAAAACAACTTTGTGTTTTTAGTTTCAGTCGAGTCTTGGTTCAATCTCTAGAACGGTTGGTGATTTTACACTTGTTTGTTTTGGTATTTTCTCTAAGGAGTAATTTTAGGTTTCAGTGATTTTTTTTTTATTTATTTAAGGGATTTTTTTTTTGGTGGGGAGCGGATGGATAAAGGGGTTTGATACTTTAAGGAGTGATTTTTAGGGTTAGTCATCTTGTAAAACACTACAGCTGTTTAATACGAGGCAAGAGAAGTAATGTATGTTGTTGACTCACACATATAGACTTACCTCCCCCACACACACACACCTCCTACACACACACCTACCTATCTCCCCTCCCCACACACACTAAGATGAAAACCGCCAAGGAGCTCGATTTGTCCGCCTGACGCCTGAACCCACCGCTTCATATTTCACCCAACTTTCTCGATCTCCCCCAAATAGTCCGTACGTTCCTCTGACTCAGGTGTACGTACTGCACATCTCTGGTCAGTACGTTCCTCTGATTCAAGTGTACGCACAACACATCTCTAGTCCGTACGTTCCTCTGACTCAGGTGTACGTACAGCACATCTCTTGTCCGTACGTTCCTCTGACTCAAGTGTAAGTACAACACATCTCTAGTCCGTACGTTCCTCTGATTCAAGTGTACGTACAGCACATCTCTTGTTCGTACGTTCCTCTGACTCAAGTGTAAGTACAACACATCTCTGGTCTGTACGCTCCTCGGATTCAAGTGTACGCCCAACACATCTCTGGTCCGTACGCTCCTCTGATTTAAATGTACGTACAACACATCTCTGGTCCGTACGCTCCTCTGATTTAAGTGTACGCACAACACATCTCTGGTCCGTACGCTCCTCTGACTCAGGTGTACGTCTCTGGTCCGTACGCATTTTGTCCGTACGTCTTCTGTACGTACATACACATCTCTGTCCGTACGTTCCTCTGATTCAAGTGTACGTACAACACATCTCTGGTCCGTACGTTCCTCTGATTCAAGTGTACGCACAACACATCTCTGGTCCGTACGTTCCTCTGACGTTCTCTGATTCAAGTGTACGCACAACACATCTTCTGGTCCGTACGTTCCTCTGATTCAAGTGTACGCACAACACATCTCTGGTCCGTACGTTCCTCTGATTCAAGTGTACGCACAACACATCTCTAGTCCGTACGTTCCTCTGATTCAAGTGTACGTACAACACATCTCTGGTCCGTACGTTCCTCTGATTCAAGTGTACGCACAACACATCTCTGGTCCGTACGTTCCTCTGATTCAAGTGTACGCACAACACATCTCTAGTCCGTACGTTCCTCTGACTCAGGTGTACGTACAGCACATCTCTTGTCCGTACGTTCCTCTGATTCAAGTGTACGCACAACACATCTCTAGTCCGTACGTTCCTCTGATTCAAGTGTATGCACAACACATCTCTGGTCCGTACGTTCCTCTGATTCAAGTTATGCACAACACATCTCTGGTCCGTACGTTCCTCTGATTCAAGTGACGTACAACACATCTCTAGTCCGTACGTTCCTCTGATTCAAGTGTACGTACAACACATCTCTGGTCTGTACGTTCCTCTGATTCAAGTGTACGTACAACACATCTCTGGTCCGTACGTTCCTCTGATTCAAGTGTACGCACAACACATCTCTGGTCTGGTTAGGTTAGGGTGTTTAATTCTCAGATGAAATAAGCTGGAGTGGCTAATCTTCAGGTAATCCGACACGTCTAGTAATCATTAATTAATTATAACATCACATAACACATCATAAACAAAAGAATAATAATAATATTGTGTTTTTGAGTCTTGTCATGGCGGCCAGAGACGATATATACTCGTTAGCTCAAGACCTGACTGACTCACTGACTGACTGACTGACTGACTCACTAAGCACTGACACAAAAAAACCGGCTAGCTGTCCCTGAAATTCAAACACGACTCGAATGTAAATGGAATATATATGTGTGTCTGTTTCTCTCTGTTGTGTGTGTGTGTGTGTGGTGTGTGTGTGTGTGTGTGTGTGTGTGTGTGTGTGTCTCTCAGTTAACAAGGAAATATTGTATGTACAAATGTTGGTAGAATTCAGGCCTCTGAGGAATTCTGATCTGTCTGTCTCACACTGTTTCTCTTACTTTCTCTCCCCCTTTGTCTGTCTCTCTGTCTGTCTATCTTACTCTTTCCCCTTCTGTCTGTCTCACTCTGTTTCTCTTACTTCTCTCTCCCTTTGTCTGTCTCTCTGTCTGTCTATCTTCCCTCTCTCTCTCTCTCTCTCTCTCTCTCTCTCTCTCTCTCTCTCTCAGCTAACAGGAAAATAATATGCACGAGTGTTAAGAAATTCTGGGTGTGGTGGGAGGGATGAGGTCCAACACCACCTCTTAGCTGGTCATTGGGTTTGTCAACACAGCACGTCGTCCGATAAAATGAAATGTATTCCTAGTCCGGGGATTTACACACACACACACACACACACACACACACACACACACACACACACACACACACACACACACACACACACTACCTATTCGTGTGTGTGTGTGTGTTGTGTGTGTGTAACCTTCAATAAAAACATCAGTAAGACGTCCAATACTAGTAGTAGTAGCTACTTTGAATCTATCTATCTCTCTTTCTTAGTTCAGTTACGGTAGACAACTTCCCTCCCTCTTCACTTTCTTTATGACGATGTTGTGGGGTTGTGAGAGAGAAAAGTGACACCTCTCCCCTCTGGCCTCCACTCTTACAATATTCAGGGACACCCGAACTCTCCCACCCCTCACATAACTTATTTATTGCCTAAGTTCTTTTATGTGCCGTCTCTCCAATGTTTATATACAGATGAAGAAGAGAGAGAGAGGAAGAAGAAGAGAGTTGGTATGACAAGTGCATAAATGTAAACATTCCAGCGCATAAAATCATTTGTGTCTTTTACCAATTTTGCCATTTTCCTCAACAGATGGCGCTCATCATTCCCCACGGTGCTGTCATTATCTTACTGGCACTACTGATGACTTTCCAGGGTTAGTGCCAGCACCCTGCCGTCCCCAGAGTGCAACAGAATCGACCTATTCCCACCACTCAGGTCCTCGGGGGCGTACAAAGATTTCGACAGGTTCTTAAAATTCATGAAAATCGCCATCGGCTCCCTCACGTCATTCATCAACAGCATGAGCGTCCTCCCCATCACCCCTCAAGCCCCCGGGTCCTCAGTCCTCAAGCCAAGACCCCCAGTTACATGGAGACCATCGGGGTGGTAACGGCACGAGACCACAACAAGGTATAAGAGTTGGCCAGAATCCCCGAGACTCAACACCTGCAAGACTGACAGATAACTTGACGCCTCCTCACTTACCAAGAGTACCACAAGACCCACGGGCTGCAGGTATCCCAACACCATCTGATAATCGAAGACCTCCAGAAGCATCAACAGCACCAGAAGCCCCAAGAGCTTTGGAAACCCAAAGAAGCCCAGAAAGGCAAGGGTTCCAGAACCTTCAAGAACTCCAGAGAAACCGAATGATGCAGAATCCCTTAGACAGACTGATAACTTACGACATTCTGATGTCCCGAAAGCCTCCGAAGGAAATATAACTTACCAAACCTCACAGTTCCCAGGAAACTTGAAAGTCCCAGATGCTCCAAGAGCTCCTGAAGTACCCAACCACCTGCCACTGGACCTGACCAGCCGCCTGCAAGAGTTCCCCAACTTGGCCGAGTCTCTCCAAACAGGGCCAGTGTCGGCCTCCATGCACTCATTCTTCGAGCCAACGATATCGGTGAGTCTGCACGGGTCGTCTTTTGTCCTTCACACCTGCAGCACAGTTTATCCTCAGGTCAACAACATGGCAGCTTATTATCACAGTAGTGGTCACAGGTGTTTGGGAAACCTTAGCTTCACAGGTTATTAGTACGAGAGATTTTCTAGTGATAACTATTATCTATTTCACTGTGTGGTAAACTTACAACACACGTTTACACATGACAGAGGAAGCTTCATGAGTCGTCAACTAAGGACTTGTGTACCATCAATGAATGAATGATTATGAATACTATCTTAAGTTTTATGTACCATGAACTAACACCACAGAGTTTGTGTCATGAGCTCACAGCACAAGAGAAGGTTTCATGTGCATTGAACACAAAATTTTACCTGAATTTAAAACATTTATAATCGGATAAAAAAAAAATTCCCACACTTCCCCCCTCCAAACCCTTCCTTTCTTCCACCTACCAATTTATTCCTTCTTTATCCCTCCACACCTGTTCCGCAGTTCCTACATTCCATTTCCATCTCTCACTTTCTTCCCCTTCCATACACTTCGCTCTCACCATTTCCTGTTTTAATTTTCTTCCATTTCACCAAAGTTATTCACATTCTCCCTCCCATTCCATACCCTTATAGATGCCTCTGTCCCTATACTTTTTGACGAAATTTTCCTCTCTTGTTTCCTCTTCCATTTCGCTAAGTTCCCAAAGTTCTCTCTCTCTGTCCCATCTCACACCCTCCTACACTCTCTCTCCCGGCTTCCGTCATATAAACTTTTTCTTTTCTTTCTTTTTTCGTTTTCTTTTCCATTTCATTAAACTACTCAGAGTCTCCTCCCTCTCTCGTCCTCCTCCTCCTCCTCTCTCTCTCTGTCCTCCTCCCCCTCCTGCTTCTCTCCTCGTTTTTTCCCTCCCTGTCTCTCCCGTCCGCTTCCCCTCTGCCATCCTACACAGCTCACTACCACCTCCCTCTGGGCACATCCTGCCTAACTCCTTTTCAAGTTTTCATCCTCTCGTCATCCTAGTTCACCTTCTCTTAATACTACTCCTACTCCTCAACCAGGTGGAAGCGGAGGAGCTGAGTGACGAGGAGTGGCAACAGTACCTGGAGAGCGAGTGGGGGAGTGACAAGATAGTACCGGATCTCCTCACTGCCCCGCCACCTTACCTGACCAACGTTAATTTCGGGGACCATCAATGTGTTCACCTGGGTAACCTCATCACACCTGCTCACGCCAGACACAAGCCCAAGCTTCTCGAGTAAGTGTCAAGTGAAGAAGTATTTTGATTCTTAACTACCTTGTAATTAATTAATACCGTATGTTTTAGTAAGTTTAGAGATAATATATAAACTTTAAAGTCTCTCTCCTTCTTCCCCAGAAATTTCAGATATTTTAAGGGGACAAAGTATATATTCATTAAAAAAAATAAAAATTCAGGAAGTATTTTGTTCGTAATATTGAATTCTTCCTTAAGGAGACGAGGGGTCGGCTTTTTGATCATGCGAAATTTCCAGCTCTGGGACAAAGTTTGCCATCAAAAGAATTTCCTGGATCCAATTTGACTCGTAATATATTCAAGTTTGCAGTTCAAATTTGTTAAAAACTTTCTAGAATTTATGAAAAGAGGGAATAATAATCCTATAAATTCCCTCCTTTACCAACTGTTATACTCAAGAGTCCAAGTTATCGTGAACGAAAAACTGAACAACCTGGGTACACTTGGGTTCAAGTTAGGTTTGGGTAGAGTGGGTTAAGTAGGGGTTAGGTAGAGTGGGTTAAGTTAGGTTAGGGTAGAGTGGGTTAAGTTAGGTTAGGGTAGAGTGGGTTAAGTTAGGTTAGGTTAGAGGGTTGTTAGGTAGGTTAAAGCTTCTGGTACTTTAACCTCGGGAGTTAGCATAAGACGGCGCCTCGGTGTCTTATTTATACACAAGATAAAAACAATTTCTCATCCGAGGCGGGGAGGGGAAGAGGAGGCGGGGGGATGAAGAGGCGGGGGGGGGGGAAGAGGAGGGCGGGGGAAGAGGAGGCGGGGGTGAAGAGGAGGTGGGGGGGGAAGAGGAGGCGGGGGGAAGAGGAGGCGGGGGGGGAAGAGGAGGGGCGGGGGGGTGAAGAGGAGGCGGGGGGGAAGAGGAGGCGGGGGGGAAGAGGGAGGGGGGGGAAGAGAAGGCGGGGGGAAGAGGAGGCGGGGGTGAAGAGGGAGGCGGGGGTGAAGAGGAGGTGGGGGGTGAGAAGAGGAGGCGTGGGGGGGTGAAGAGGAGGCGGGGGTGAAGAGGAGGTGGGGGGGTGAAGAGTGGGGGGTGAAGAGGAGGCGGGGGGTGAAAAGGGGGAGGGGGGGAAGGGGAAAGGGCAGGGGGGGAAGAGGGAGGCGGGGGTGAAGAGAGGGAGGGGGGGTGAAGAGGGAGGCGGGGTGGAAGAGGAGGCGGGGGTGAAGAGGAGGCGGGGGGTGAAGAGGGAGGGGGGTGAAGAGGAGGCGGGGGAAGAGGAGGGTGGGGGTGAAGAGGGAGGCGGGGGTGAAGAGGAGGGGGGGGGTGAAGAGGAGGCGGGGGTGAAGAGGAGGTGGGGGGTGGGAAGAGGAGGTGGGGTGAAGAGGAGGCGGGGGGGGGTGAAGAGGAGGTGGGGGGGGGTGAAGAGGAGGCGGGGGGTGAAGAGGAGGGTGGGGGTGAAGAGGAGGCGGGGGAAGAGGAGGCGGGGGGTGGAAGAGGAGGCGGGGGGTGAAGAGGAGGCGGGGGGTGAAGAGGAGGCGGGGGGGTGAAGAGGAGGCGGGGGGTGAAGAGGGGAGGCGGGGGGTGGAAGAGGAGGCGGGGGGGGGTGAAGAGGAGGCGGGGTGAAGAGGAGGCGGGGGGGGGTGAAGAGGAGGCGGGGGGTGAAGAGGAGGCGGGGGGGGTGAAGAGGGAGGCGGGGGTGAAGAGGAGGCGAAAGGGGGGTGAAGAAGGAAGAGAGGGGGTGAAGAGGAGGCAGGGTGTGGAAGAGGAGGCGGGGGGGTGAAGAGGAGGGTGGGGGGTGAAGAGGAGGGGCGGGGGGTGAAGAGGGAGGCGGGGGGGGGTGAAGAGGAGGCGGGGGTGAAGAGGGAGGCGGGGGGGGGTGAAGAGGAGGGGGGGTGAAGAGGAGGGGGGGTGAAGAGGAGGTGGGGGGTGAAGAGGAGAGAGGGGGGGAGGAGGCGGGGGGGGGTGAAGAGGGAGGCGGGGGGGGTGAAGAGGAGGGGGGGGAAGAGGAGGCGGGGGGGTGAAGAGGGAGGCGGGGGGTGAAGAGGAGGTGGGGGGTGAAGAGGAGGCGGGGGGTGAAGAGGGAGGTGGGGGGTGAAGAGGAGGCGGGGGGTGAAGAGGAGGCGGGGGGTGAAGAGGAGGAGGGGGGGGAAGAGAGGGGTGAAAAGGAGGGAGGAAGGAAGGTAGAGAGAGAGAGAGAGGAAGGTAAAGGGAGAAAGAGAGAGGAAAGAGGTAGGAAGAGGAAGGGGAGGTGGAGGGACGGAGAAGATAAGGAGAGGAAGATAGATGGAAAGGGAGAAAGTGGAGAGAAGGAAAGAGAAAGCGGAGAAAGGGGGGAGGGGGGAAACGAGAAGAGGAGATACGAGCGAAGCGAGAGTCTGAAGGGAGAGAGAGAGATGGGGGGGCAGGAAATAAACAAGCTCAGGGAAGGCGATGCTACGCCAGGCGAAGCGTAACAGACAACCAGATAAGATAGAACCTCCAGTATCCGCCGCCAGTCTCACAACTTGCCTACATTTTATCTTATATTTCCACCTCAACTGAAGACAAACAAACAAACAAACACGGTAGAGTCACTGTGTAGTTTAGAGGCCAATATTTAATTCCCTTGACTTAAAAAAAAGATTTATTCTTCCTTTACACCATTATTCACCCCATTAAGGCAAAATTAATTCTCAAACACCCCCATTATTTTTCCCCTTAATGTATCTAGTCAAGGTAGAGTCACTGTGCTATTTCGATGCCATTATCTTTCCTCACAGAAACTCTTTAAAAGGTTTTCCCATAAAAATCAATTCAGGAATAAGTGTTGGGGAAATATGTGTTGGGGAAATATGTGTTGGGGGAAATATGTGTTGGGGAAAATATGTGTTGGGGAAATATGTGTTGGGGAAATATGTGTTGGGGAAAGTGTTGGGGAAATATGTGTTGGGGGAAATATGTGTTGGGGGAAATATGTGTTGGGAAATATGTGTTGGGGAAATATGTGTTGAAATATGTGTTTTGGGGAAATAAGTGTTGGGGAAATATGTATTGGGGGAAATAAGGTTGGGGAAATAATGTGTTGGGGAAATAAGTGTAGGGAAATAGGTGCTGTTTGTCGGCAACTGGAGGAGAAGATGGAGTAATTCAGAGGAGGAATGTAAGACTATAACACAGGCGCCTGAATTGTACTCTCGTTAAGGAGGAAACTTCACTATGTTGGAGGGAAAAAAGGAGGAGGAGGAGGAGGAGGAGGAGGAGGAGGAGGAGGAAGGAGAGGAGGAATAGAGAGAAGGAGGGGAGTGAGGAGGACTAGGGGAAGGAGGAAGAGTAAGGAGGAGTTGGGGAAGGAGGGAGAGTGAGGAGTAGGAGGAGGGGGTCAAGGAGGAGTAGGATGGGGGAGTCGAGGAAGAGTAGGAGGAGGGGGTCGAGGAGGAGTAGGAGGAAGGGGTCGAGGAGGAGTAAGAGGTCGAGCAGGAGAGAGTCGAGGAGGAGTAAGAGGACGGAAGAGGGCGTAGGAGGAGGAGGTCGAGGAGGAGGAGGAGGAGGTCGAGGAGGAGGGGAGAGAAAGTAGGAGTGAGGAGTAGGAGGAGAAAGAGGAGTAGGACTGCAGCAGAATGCAACGATCTTCTTTAGATTACCAATCAGGTAATGGCGAGGCTGTGTAGCCGGTATAAAATATATTCACCTGATACACGAGAGAGAGAGAGAGAGAGAGAGAGAGAGAGAGAGAGGAAACTTACAAGACTCTTCCATTTTCCTCCAAGAATTATCTCCGCCTTACAACACCCAAAAAAAGGCAACAAGTATCCCCAGAGTTTTAAATTTGACTCGAGACATTCCCGGCGCGACGCACTTAACAAAGAGGGGCAAGGGATGCTGCTCGCTCGCTCTCTCCTTAATAAATTTTCAGCCAATACTTGTGATATTTTTCCTAAAGAGTCCATATCATTTTAAAGATTCAAAGTTGATGCGGTGACTTCCTTCTGTGTGTGTGTGTGTGTGTGTGTGTGTGTGTGTGTGTGTGTGTGTGTGTGTGTGTAAAAAATAATAATACTTTATACATAATTTATTCATCCCCTTCTTGAGTTTTAATTAAATTCAACCTCAGGGAAAAACACTTCTTTAATCTAATTTGTTCATATACTCGAAAAAAAATACACGTCTTCATATTTAACAAGATTCATCCACGACAAAAGAAAAATCTTTCATTCATAAATAACTTCATCTTTTACAGGACTTTCACGTTACTTTTCCGCTTCGTTTATTCTACCTTTATGCTATCTTTAATTACCTTTACGTTACGTTACCTTTACACTATCATGCTTCAGGTGTTAACATATAGAGGTCCTCTCACAGGTTTCCGGGGGAGGCTGGTCATCGCTACGCCGTGTTGCTCCTCGACCTGGACCACACCCCCTCACCCTACCTCAGCTGGCTCCTCCTCAACGTCCCCGTGGACCATTTAAATAAAGGTAGGTTGTCCTCCATCAGGTAAGGTCATCCTTCACCAGGTAAGGTCGTCTTCTACCAGATAGGTCGTCTTCCACCAGGTAAGGTTGTCCTCTACAGGTTAAGGTCGTCCTTTACCGGTTAAGGTCGTCCTTCACCAGGTAAGGTCGTCCTCCACCAGGCAAGGTCGTCCTCCACCATGGAAGATCGTCTTCCACCAGGCAAGGTCGTCTTCCACCAGGCAAGGTCGTCCTCCACCAGGTAAGGTCATCCTTCACAAGGTAAGGTCGTCCTCCACCAGGTAAGGTCGTCCTCCACCAGGTAAGGTCGTCCTTCACTACATATGGGCACCCTGCACCAGGCATCCAAGGTCAGGTAACCCTCCAAATGCTATACAGAGGCCGAAATGAATTTCAACTTCCTTATTCTGTAATTGTAATTTCACCTGAGACCAATCCTGAACACCTGATCTGAAATTCTGATGACCCTATCAAGTTTGACTCGCTAGTGTGACCTACATTCTGACCTCTGACCTGTGTGGGCAGGTGTGGAGGTGGTGGAATATGAGGCGCCGCGACCTGGACAAGGCACAGGTCAGCACCGCATGGTCTTCCTGGTCTACCTGCAAAAGACCTCCCTACCCCTGAACCTGCCAGGCCTACCCGCCTCCAGGTCTTGTCAGGTCAGTGTATACAATTTGTCTGTCTCGTTTACAGGTTATATTGGGTTTGGATCACGTGAAGATTAAAGAGAGCAGGGGCGGAACCAGGAATATCAAAAGTTGGGGTGGGGGGCCTAAGCCCCGAGAATTTTTTTTGAAACCTGACCATTGTCATGAGCATTTCGGGGACATTTTGAACCCACGTGCACTTGATATTAAGAGATATTCTGAGGTCAAGAGTAATACAATACAGTACAGCATTAAAGAAAAAGTATTAGAATTTTATGATGAAAAGTGGGGTCCGGACCCCCAGGACTCCCCCCCCACCCCTGGAGAGCGAGAGAGATTGATTGATTTAAGCATGTCAATATTATTATTAATATTTCTAAACTATTATTATTACTATTATTTTTATTAGTTAAACATTATTCCCATCAAGAGTGCAGAGGTCTTATTGCAACTATATCTTACGCTAGTCAGGCCGCACCTCGATTATGCGGTTCAGTTCTGGTGCCCCTATTATATAATGGATATCAATTCACTGGAGTCGGTGCAACGAAGAATGACGAAAATGATTCCGGGACTTAGAAACCTTCCATGTCAGGATAGGTTAAGGAAACTTAACTTGCATTCCCTAGAAAGACGAAGAGTGCGGGGAGATATGATAGAAGTATTTAAGTGGGTGAAAGGAATCAATAAAGGGGATATAGATAAAGTTCTTATAATATCCGAGCAGGATAGGACTCGGAGCAACGGATTTAAGTTGGATAAGTTTAGATTTAGGAGGGAGATAGGAAGAAACGGGTTCACAAATAGGGTGGTGGACGAGTGGAACAAACTTAGCAACTTTGTAGTAAGTGCGGGAACTCTGGAAAGTTTTAAAAGGAGGCTAAATAGATTCATAGATGATAGAGAGTGGTAGTAACTCTCGACAGGAGCTGCCATGCACAAGCCAACCGGCCTATTGCAGACTCCTTATTTTCTTATGTTCTTAACACGTCATCATAACCTAACCTAACCCCGTGTCGTCAACAGAGGACAGGTCGCGAGGGTGTTGACCTGAGCAAGATGACCCGTGACCTGGCGTTGAAGGGACCAATAGCAGCCAACTATTTCCTCTCAGAGTGGGACATCACGGTCGAGCACTCCTGTACTGACCTCTGATGACCGGACCTCCACACCTTCGCAGAGGAGACTGATAGGGTGATGGAGAGAGAGGGATAGGGGTGAGGAAGAGGGGGAGTTGGGGTGATGAACAGAAAGGGAGAATTTCCCCCAAATTTCCAATTTCTCAACATTTTCCAACAAAATTAATTTTTTTTTAACTTTTCCGAAAATGTTAAAAAAATTCCCCCCCTCTCCCCCCAAAAAATCAAACTGCTGTGACGTCATCACCAACTGCTATGATGTCATCACCAACGGCTGTGACATCACCAACGGCTGTGACATCACCAACGGCTGTGACGTCATCACCGATGACGAAATTAATTGTAAACAGAATATTCTAGTCAATTGAAAACTGGTGTCAGTGTTTACTGACAAAAGCTTCACCTGCTAAAAAATCAAATTTCTTTTCTTGTTGACGACCAAAGTTATATAATTCCAGATACGAGTTGAAAGACCTGGAATTTTTATGTTTTTTTGTGATGAATAAAAATAATCTTGGAATATCGTTGAAGTTTTATGAGTTAAATAGTTTAGTGGTGAGAAACTGAGGGAAAGATAATTGTTGGAACTTGTTTATATCAAGTGTGGTGAGGAGAGGGTGGTGATGTGGTGAAGAGGGGGTGGTGTGGTGAAGAGGGGGTGGTGTGGTGAGGAGAGGGTGGTGATGTGGTGAAGAGGGGGTGGTGTGGTGAAGAGGGGGTGGTGTGGTGAAGAGGGGGTGGTGGTGTAGTGAGGAGGGGAGGGAGGGAGGGAGGGACAGTATCAACCTCACCACACACACACTGCCAGACGGACCATCACTCACCGGGTAAATAAGATTAACCGACCTCTCCAACACCTCAAACACACTCCCCAACACTATTGAACACACTCTCCAACACACACTTCAACACTCTCCAACACGCTCTCCAATACTCTCTCCAACACTCTCCAACACGCTCTCCAATACTCTCCAACACGCTCTCCAACGCTCTCCTCCATTCCTATGACATATTTCACCTCATCCCACAGAAAATAATAATTGTTTAACGTAACAATACAAATAAAAAAACAATAATTAAAAAATAACAACGAGAACCAAAAAAAAATCTTATAATTTTATTTGATTTCTCCAAGTCAAAAATTTCTTTAAGGTGATAATTCCAAAATTCATTAACAGATGGCGTTAGCAGTAAGACTTTTTAACTCTGTGGGAGTTATAAAATAAATATTACAGTAAAGAGTTATATTTTTGTAGCTTATTTTTACAACCTCCTGATTTTCCTACGTGCTCTCAGAGGCTTGGGGAGGAGAGGGAGGGATGAGAGAGCGCGGAGTGTGTGATCCCAGACTGCATTAAGGGCGAGGCTGCAGGGTAAGAGAAGTCAGTGCTCAGTTGGTTGAATTTTTACTTAAACAAATACAGCTGACAACTTTCTACCTCTCTCCCTTTCTCTCACTCTTTCTTCCTCCCCCTCCCTCTCTCTCTCTCTCTTAAATTATCTATATACACATTCTAATCACACAACAACACAATATTTCACACCTTTTCACTAACACACTTTAACATGGTACTTACATTACCATTTACCACAACAGCACCAAAGGCTACGTGAGTTTATATTTATACATTTATCTTATTATTTACATACATTATCCTTATTTTCTTATTTATGCCCATTATTCATTATTCTCTATTATTCCTACGAGTAATTTTTTTTTTTTTATCGCTGTGGATGTAAACTGGGGTCAATTAATTAGGTCAATAAAATTTTAATGAGTAATTTGTTTATTTATGTTTCCGGGTAATGAAGTGTTTAGTGGATGTTGATGTACACATGAACTGAATTATTAAATGTTTATACAATAATATTTGAAGAGCGGAAGGAATTAAGGTAGGTGAGAAAAATTAACCCAGGTGAGAGAAAAATTAAACAAGGTGAGAGAAAAATTAACCCAGGTGAGAGAAAAATGAAACAAGGTGAGAGAAAAAATGAAGCCAGGTGAGAGAAAAATCAAGACAGGTAATATAAAGAATCAACCCAGGTGAGAAAAATCAAGTCATGAAAGAGAAAATCAAACCAGGTAAGAAAAAAATTAAGCCAGGTAAGAGAAAAATCAAGACAGGTGATAGAAAAATCAACCAAGGTGAGAGAAAAATCAAGCCAGGTAAAATAAAGAATAAACCCATGTGAGACAAAAATAAACCCATGTGAGAAAAATCAAGCCAGGTAAGAGAAAAATCAAGCCAGGTAAGAGAGAGAAGGAGAATCTCAAGAGTAATTTTCCTTTTAATTGTCACCATCTTCCTGGAATCAGCTGAGTTTTTTTTAGGAGTCCATATAGTGCTAACCTCGCTGGGCGTTTAGGGCGACTCTCCCACGGTAAGCTAAGGGCCCGGAGATCCTCGCGTCACCTGAGGCTTGTATACTGTCGCAGCCCAGGTTAGACGCCCGTGAAATTGAGGTTAATGACCCATAAGGTAATGACACCTTGGATAATAGGAGGAAGAGTAGGAGGAGGAGGAGGAGGAGGATGAAGAGGAAGAGGAGGCGAGGAGGAGCAAAAGGAAGATGAAGATGGAGAAGAAGAGGAGGAAGAAAGGGAAGAGGAGAGGAGGAGGAAGGTGGGGGAAAACACACACACACACACACACACACACACACACACACACACACACCTTTCGACCTCAAAAAGTAAAAGTAAAAAACTAAGTATAACTCTGTAATGATGATGGTGATGATGGTGATGATGATGATGAGGATGATGATGATGATGGTGATGATGATGATGGTGATCGAGTTACCTGAAGATTAAACACACCGGGTTTTTTTCACCTGCTAATTAAACACTCATACTATACCTAGGGAGGTTTAGTTAGGTTAATCTTCAGGTGAAATAAGCTTTGGTTTAATCTTCAGGTGAAATAAGCTTTGGTTTAATGTTCAGGTGAAATAAGTTGGAGTTTAACCTTCAGGTGAAATAAGCTTTGGTTTAATCTTCAGGTGAAATAAGCTTTGGTTTAATCTTCAGGTGAAATAAGCTTTCGTTTAATCGTCAGGTGAAATAAGCTTTCGTTTAATCTTCAGGTGAAATAAGCTTTGGTTTAATCTTCAATTGATATAAGCTTGGGGTTTAATCTTCAGGTGAAATAAGCTTGGAGTTTAATCTTCAGGTGAAATAAGCTTTGGTTTAATCTTCAGGTGAAATAAGCTTTGGTTTAATCTTCAGGTGATATAATTTAGGGTTTAATCTTCAGATGAAATAAGCTTGAAGTTTAATCTTCAGGTGAAATAAGCTTTGGTTTAATCTTCAGGTGAAATAAGCTTGGGGTTTAATCTTCAAGTGAAAAACTTTGGTTTCATCTCCAGGTGAAATAAGCTTGGGGTTTAATCTTCAGGTGAAATAAGCTTGGGGTTTAATCTTCAGGTGAAATAAGCTTGGAGTTTAATCTTCAGGTGAAATAAGCTTTGGTTTAATCTTCAGGTGAAATAAGCTTTGGTTTAATCTTCAGGTGAAATAAGCTTGGGGTTTAATCTTCAAGTGAAATAAACTTTGGTTTCATCTCCAGGTGAAATAAGCTTGGGGTTTAATCTTCAGGTGAAATAAGCTTGGGGTTTAATCTTCAGGTGAAATAAACTTTGGTTTAATCTTCAGGTGAAATAAGTTTTGGTTTAATCTTCGTCATCCCAGTTTGTTACTATATAAACCCCTTTACTCACCAATTATAACAAAACCTCTATTTAACGGACTATATAGAGAAGAACGTCCGTTATATCGAAGACCCGCGAGATATGAAGCCTCAACCTAACGAAGTATATGGAGATGAAATTCCGTTATATTGACCGTCCGTTAAATGTGAATTCCCCACTTAACGGATTATATGGAGAGAGAAAAGTCCGCTTTTGGGAAAAGACGCTACTTGAGGGTCACGTCACAGGTAATATTGGCTGAGATCAAGCCACTAGTGTCATTGATCCAGCTAATGGCTTCTATATAAGTATACACTATATATACATTTTGTTCATCAGCACCGTTATTGCATTAAGTATCGTTTCTATTACAACTTATAAAACTTACACACTACGTCGACACACATAACGCTATCTGTCGTCTCTGAAATGTCAACAACTGCGGCGTCACAGCACGAAGATGACGTCACCGACAACTATGACGTCATATATATAAACAAGGAGGGTAGGAGAGCGCTGGTGGTACTTACCTTCTCATCGTAGAAGCCCGGGTCATCGGATCTCTGTTGACCCAGCAGGCGGTCTGTCTCTTGGTCTGTGTCGCCATCGTCTGTGAAGGAAAAGAAGGCAGTTGTTTAGTTTACGGACGACTGGGGATAATGTAACGTACTTGATTTAACAGACAACTGAAGATAAAAAATGGTTTAACAGACAATAAACATTCTAAAGGCCATAAAGCTCTTGGCCAATAAGCTTCCCTCTCACTTAACACTATTGGATGAGTTAAAATTAAGAGAAAACGTAATCCGCCCCCCCAAATAAAAATAATTAATCCAAAGAAAACGGGAAATAAACTCGAAGGGGAAACCACACTCAAAATCCCAACATAACGGACACCATTCCAGCGTTATCTCCAGGCCGGGTGTCAGGCTTTATCAGTACAGGATTAAGAACACGCGCTGAATAAACTCATTCCAGGGTAAAATAAGCTTATGATTAATTAAGAGAATATCCTGGCGTAAAGTTAATTAAGTTTATAGCACACCTTAGTGACTTGACTTACCTGCCGCCGCCACGTCACACCCAGACAACCTCCTCAAGAGATCATGGGCCCCGAGTCCTTGGCCCCAAATCATAAAAGGTCCGTCCTAAGGGGCCCTAACCTAATCGAACCTATCCATTACAAAAAAACTAAGTTCTAAGTCAATTTGAGGTCTATGAAGGATTGGGGCCGAGTAGGATTAGGGGCCGAGTAGGATTAGGGGCCGAGTAGGATTAGGGGCCGAATAGGATTAGGGGCACATAAACACTAGGGACCATACAACTACCTAATGGTCTGGTTAGTTTGGGACCAATTAGGACTGTGGCTGGGGGGGCGGGGAAAGGTGACGGGGGAGGAGAGGGGAAGGGGAGGGGGAGGGGCATTATGTGACGTATGGGACACTATGAGCTGGAAGCATGAACACACACACACACACACACACACACACACACACACATGCCACACACACACACACAGTGGCTCCAAGTAAGATAGAGGGAAGGGGAGACAGGAGGTTGTTAGGTGAAGGGAGGGGGTGAGGGATGGAAGAGGAGAGGAGGGGAGAGGAGGAGGAGGAGGGGGGACTGAGAGGAGTGATAATAATCAACAACCTGACGCGACTTTGTTCCGCTGGACCGATATTTCCAAACACTCTGTCGTAGCTCTGAGAGGTAAGAAGAGGAGGAGGAAGAGGAGGAAGAGGAGGAGGAAGCAAGAAGAAGGAGAGAGGAGGAGGAGGAGGAGGATGAGAGGAGGAGGATGAGGGAGGAGGAGGCAAGGCACCTTTCCACCTCATCTTACCTCAGATAACTTCCCACACTTTATATACCTGCGTTTATTACCTTTCACTCCCTGACTCTCGCCCATTTTAATGGCTTGAGAGAGAGAGGAGAGAGAGAGAGAGAGAGAGAGGAGAGAGAGAGAGAGAGACCAGCTGGGGTAGGCGGCTATAATCAATAAGGAATAATTGTGTTTACCTTGGCCCTGACACTCACCAGACAGTCTCATGCATAAATAAATACATCGCGGTTCAGGACAAAAACCCAGGAGCAAGGAGTCCATTTAGAGGCTAGCGGAGTGTGGACATATGGTGCACACAACTCTCCCAAACAGGTGTGGAAAGATGGTGCACACAACTCTCCCACAGGTGTGGAAAGATGGTGCACACAACTCTCCCAAACAGGTGTGGGAAGATGGTGGCGCCAACCTCCCAAAACAGGTGTGGAAAGATGGTGCACACAACTCTCCCAAACAGGTGGAAAGATGGTGAGCACAACCCTCCCAAAATGACAGGTGTGGGAGGAGCGGTGCACACACTCTCCCAAACAGGTGTGACATGGTGCACACAACTCTCCCAAACAGGTGTGGGAAAGATGGTGCACACAACTCTCCCAAACAGGTGTGAGAAAGATGGTGAGCACAACCTCCCAAACAGGGTGGGGGAAAGATGGTGCACACAACTCTCCCAAACAACAGGTGTGAAGATGGTGCACACAACTCTCCCAAACAGGTGTGGAAAGATGGTGCACACAACTCTCCCCAAACAGGTGTGGGAAAGATGCAGGAGCAACCTCCCAAACAGGTGTGGAAAGATGGTGCACACAACTCTCCAAACAGGTAGGACATATGGTGCACACACAACTCTCCCAAACAGGTAGGGAAAGATGGTGCACACAACTCTCCTGCAAACAGGTGTGGGAGGCGATGGTGAGCACAACCTCCCAAAACAGGTGGAAAGATGTACACAACTCTCCCAAACAGGTGTGATATGGTGCACACACAACTCTCCCAAACAGGTGTGGGAAAGATGGTGCACACAACTCTCCCAAACAGGTGTGGGTGATGGTGAGCACAACCTCCAAACAGGTGTGGAAAGATGGTGCACACAACTCTCCCAAACAGGTGTGGACATATGGTGCACACAACTCCCAAACAGGTGTGGAAAGATGGTACCCCCCCGGCAGGTGTGGAAAGGTGATGACAGCGCAACAGGTACAGCCGCAGGTGGTGGTTATTAACTAATGAGGCTAGTTAGTCCATCACCATCAGCGTAATGAGGGCGTGGTCCAAACACCCTCACCATCACACGCCACCACCTCCACACGCCACCACCACACCTACACGCCACCACCACACCAGTATAGTGTGTATGGAGACACTCACACTCAGTGGTTAATAGCACTATGAGGGCGAGCAGTGTGGGGGAGAGTGAAGGTGGTGGAGTGAGTATGTACCCAACCACTCATCTCCATCACTCCTCACCAACACTCCCCACCACCACTCACAACACTCCCCACCACCACTCACCAACACTCCTCACCACACTCCCTGTTCGTCCACAAGTTAGTCTCCACACACGTGCTTGGTGATCATTGTTGACTTATCTTGGGAGGTGAAGAGCCTCCTCCTCCTCCTCTTCATCTCTGCGGGGTGTAAGATCCCTCCCCCTCCTACCCCCCCTTCCCCCTCCTACCCTACCCCCCTCCTCACTGTAGCACGGGCCTGGACACTCACCTTGGTGCGGGGAGAGCTTGGTGACCGGGGCTGGTGACTCATCTCGGTGCACTGAGGGCCTGGCGACTAGGCCTAGTGACTCACCTTGGTGCACGGGATGCTGCCTGGGCCTGGTGATCACTAGGGTCTTGGTGCCTACGGTGGCCGGGTCACGGATAAGGTTCAGCTCGGCCAGACGCTGAACTAACCCTCCGTTCATCACTACCTCACCATCACTACTTCACCATCTTCACCACACCATCACGACACATCCCCTCATAACTGATACTTCTCACAATACCTTCACAACACTTCCCTCACTGGCGGTACACCATCGCTGATACTTATTATCATGTAGTCACTATACTCTTACACGGACACCATCACCATACTCCTCACAGACGGCGTATCATCACTACACAGATCACCATCCTCAAAAGTATGATGAAGGGTGACACTATATAGGTCCTACGCACTCACTTCACCATCCTCGTCGACCATCACCATTCACCTCCTCACTATAGTGCTTCACAAAGGTCATGGTGAGAGGCACAATGATCAACACTATAACTTAATGTACTTATCACTTCACCTAAGTTTCACCACACCTGTACAAGCAAACTGCAGGTAAATATCACGTTTAACAAAGGCAACAAGATCATTTATATCAATAATAATAATGATAATGATAATAATAATAATAATACTTAATAATCTCACAATACGAAGGTTTCAAATGGCAATCAGAATGAAGTTGAATTATGTACCGAATCACTTGAAGAATATTCACCCCCACCTTATTTCACCTAACCTAACCTAACCTAATGCTAACCTCACCTCAACCAATCCGTGCTAGGGTGGCTAATCTTATGTACTTTTACGACACACACACACACACACACACACACACACACACACACACACACACACACCATACAGCTCAAGTATTACCTCATTAGCTCAAGTAAGACCTTAATGAGTTCAAGGATTCATTCATCTTGAGGGGGACAAAAATATACCAAGTTCAAGAGTTCTTTTCATAAACAACCTTTGCAACACAGAGTTTAGCTTGTATCGTCCGACATAGGTTCGCCAGGAGGAGTTCTTCCGTCTGACATTTCCTTGCCTGAGTGACTTCTTTTACCAACCAGTAACAACACAAACACGCTTCCAACAACAACAACAACAACACGCGACTTTGGATAGATTTGTTGACAAGTTACTACCATGTAAACCCACACACAACCATACACAAGAGCCGCATGATGTGTGTGTGTGTGTGTGTGTGTGTGTGTGTGTGTGTGTGTTGCTTGACTGTTTATTGACCTGACACACATTAGCATAATCACTTAACACCTTACCTAACCTAACCTAACCTTCACCTCACCTAACCTAACCTACCCAATCTAATCTTATCTCCACCTTAATAATCTAACTCGACCTTCCATATCCTACCATGCTCCAGCTTCCCCTTACGCTCCAGCATCCCCCCATCACGCCCAGGCCTCCTCCCACGCTCCAGGCCTCCCCACGCTCCAGGCCTCCTCCCACGCCCAGGCCTCCTCCCACGCTCCAGGCCTCCTGCCCAGCCTCCTCCCACGCTCCCTATACCACAGTCTTTTATGCTCGCTAATGAGAGATCCGAGACGACATGCTTGAGTATTTTCAAAGCTCGACCACCAGTACAGTAAAGCGAGGTTACTGGATGTATTAACACACATGTATACTGTCTATATAACCCGGAATGGATACTCCTTCACGTCAGGCTGGGAATAAACACCAGGTGAGGAATAAACACCAGGTAAGGAATAAACACCAGGTAAGGAATAAACACCAGGTAAGGAATAAACACCATAGAGGAATAAACACCAGGTGAGAGTAAACACCAGGTGAGGAAGAAAAACACCAGGTGAGAATAAACACCAGGTGAGGAATAAACACCAGGTAAGGAATAAACACCAGGTAAGGAATAAACACCAAGAGGAGTAAATAAACACCAGGTGGGGAATAAATAAACACCAGGTGAGGAATAAACACCAGATGAGGAATAAACACCAGGTGAGGAGAAACACCAGGGAGGAAATAACACCAGGAGGAATAAACACCAGGTGAGGAATAAACACCAGATGAGGAGTGGAATAAACACCAGGTGAGGAATAAACACCGGTGAGGAAAAACAGCAGAGGAATAAACACCAGGTGAGGAATAAATAGGTGAGGAATAAAACACCAGGTGAGGAATAAACACCAGGTGAGGAATAAACACCAGGTAGGAATAAACACCAGGTGAGGAATAAAACACCAAATGAGGAATAAAACAGGAGTAAACACCAGGTGAGGAGTAAAACACCAGGTGAAGAATAAACACCAGGTGAGGAGTAAATAAACCAGGTGGGGAATAAATAAACACCAGGTGAGGAATAAACCAGGTGAGGAATAAACACCAGGTGAGGAATAAACACCAGGTGAGGAGTAACACCAGGTGAGGAGTAAACACCAGGTCAGGAAAACACCAGGTAAGGAATAAACACCAGGTGAGGAATAAACACCAGGTGAGGAATAAACACCAGGTGAGGAGTAAACACCAGGTAAGGAATAAACACCAGGAAAGGAATAAACACCAGGAAAGGAATAAACACCAGGTAAGGAATAAACACCAGGTGAGGAGTAAACACCAGATGAGGAATAAACACCGGTGAAGGAATAAACACCAGGTAAGGAATAAACACCAGGTGAGGAATAAACACCAGGTGAGGAATAAACACCATATGAGGAATAAACACCAGGTGAGGAGTAAACACCAGGTGAGGAGTAAAACACCAGGTGAGGAGTAAACACCAGGTGAAGAATAAATAAACACCAGGTGAGGAATAAACACCAGTAGAGGAATAAATAAACACCAGGTGAGGAATAAACACCAGGTGAGGAATAAACACCAGGTGAGAATAAACACCAGTAGAGGAATAAACACCAGGTGAGGTAAACACCAGGTGAGGTAAACACCAGGTGAAAATAAATAAACACCAGGTGAGGAGTAAACACCAGGTGAAGAATAAATAAACACCAGGTGAGGATTTTCACTTTTTTATAGTTTAATTGAGGAAAAATAACCAAAATATATAAATTTACAATAATCCCAACACGCAGAACCCCTCCCCCACAGTAAAGCTGCTATACTCACGCCCTCAATCAACAACACAGGGGAGGAAGGATTAAATTTAACGAGACAATTGAATTCTGACACAAAGTCAATACTGTGTGTGTGTGTGTGTGTGTGTGTAAATAACAAGCACTACATATGATCCCAATCTGACTCACCCAGTACACACTATTGTGTACTATTACACACACACACACACACACACACACACACACACACACACACACACACACACACACACACACACACACACACACACCCAACACACACACACACACACCCACACACACACACACACACACACACACACACACACACACACACACACACACCCCACCCCACACCCCTCTCTTCGTCCATCATCGTACTCCTTCCACTCTTTCGTTGTTCTTCGGGACGAAAATTCACGGGTAGACTAAGAAATTAATTCACAGGTGCTGTTTGTAATATATTTTCCTAACATAACGACAGGGGTTTAACGATAGTAGGAGGTGCTGTGACACATTCCTAAGCACATCCCAACACAACGCAACCCAATATTGAAACACCACAACACGACAGGGCACTGATATAACACATACAGAAACAACACAGGACTAAACACATCTAACACGACAGCAACACATCATTGAAACACCCACACATCACCACATAACACACAACACATTACTGAAACACCACAACATCTCGACACAACACCACAACACATTACTGAAACACACAACACATCACTGAAACACCACAACACATCACGACTCCACACCACAGCACCGACACAACACCACAACACATTACTGAAACACCACAACACATCACCGACACAACACCACAACACATTACTGAAACACCACAACACATCACTGAAACACCACAACACATAACCGACACATCCCCACACCACAGCACCGACACATCCCCACACCACAGCACCGCCAAGAGACAACACACCTTGTTCCTCCGACGCCATGGTGTAGGGTGGGAACACTGACAGTAGCTGAGGTGGCCGTCTCTCATTGCTGTATCTAATCTCTCAGTAATCTCTTATCTCACACCCAGACAACCACCCTCACACACACTCACGCTAATACTACTGCTGCCGTCAATGATTCCTCCTCCTCCTCCTCCGTCACCTGTTCCTCCTTCGTCGCCTTTCACTTCTTCTCTGCCTTCCTCCTGCTCCGCCTCCTTTGGCTAGGTATTTGTATCCCATAAAAAAAAGATCGTGATTGGTCCATACCTTGTCACATGATCCACAACAAAGATCGTGATTGGTCCATACCTTGTCACATGATCCACAACAAAGATCGTGATTGGTCCATACCTTGTCAAGTGACTCGCCATAGCAACAATGATTGGGTCATACTTGACGCATCGGAGAGATTCTTAACCAATGAGCGACAAGTGGTTGAAGGAGACAAGTTGGAGGAGTAGTATAGTGTTGGAGGAGGAGGAGGTACTTGAAGGCTGACGTGTGTAAAGTAACGGTGATAAGGTGGTGAAGTGAAGAGGAAGAAGGAGGAGGAAGAGAAAGGAGGAAGAAGAGGAGAAGGAGGAAGGAGAGAGGGAAGAGGGAGAAGGAGGAAGAGGAGGAGAGAGAGGACACAGGCAACAAGCCACCCTAAACTCTTTTCTGTTCCAGATGATCTTCTAATGGGACAGGAGAGGTGGAGAGGGCAGAAATGGACGGAGGAAAGGTGACAGAGAAATGAAGGAAAGGAGAAAAGGGCGGAAGGAGGAGGAAAAGGGCGGAAGGAGGAGAAAAGGCGGAGGAAGGAGACAAGAGCAAACATAAAACACATAAATGTCAAGAGGAAGAGAAAAAAAAGAAGAATAAAGAAAGAAAAATGAAAGAGTGGATAAGAGACAGGTGGAAGAGACAGGAGGAGGAGAGTGAGGGGGGGAGGATCAGCTGATGAGAGAGAGACAGGAGAGGGGAAGAAGATAAATTGGAAGAGGGAGGAAATTGGAAGAGGCTTGTCATTGGAATTTCTCCTGCCTAGAAATACATACATACATACATACATACATACATACATACATACATACATATATACTGAGAGAGAGAAACAGACAGACAGAGAAGAGAGAGGACGTCGTTGGTTTGAGACTCACCTAAGAACCTGTTACAATACAGATATAATTGGTCTCCAAATTGGTTGATTTGGGTTGGAGGAGGAGGAGGTTAGGTAAGTTAGGTTAGGTTAGGTGGAGGGAGTTAGTTGAGGAGGAGTGAGGGAGGTTAGGTAAGGTTAGGTTGGGTGGAGGAGGAGGTTGAGTAAGTTAGGTTGGTGGAGGAGGTTGGTTGGGAGGAGTGAGGGAGGTTAGGATTAGGAGGAGGAGGGTTGAGGTGGAGGAGAGTTAGGTTAGGAGGTGAGGAGTTAGAGTGAGTTAGGTTAGGTGGAGGAGGAGGTTGGGTTAGGAGGTGGGAGTTGGGTTGGGAGGAGGGTTGGGAGGTTAGGTGGAGGGAG